CCCCCCCCCCCCTCCCTCTCGCCCCCTTCCCTGCGTCTCCTTCTCCAGTTCGGCAATGTCCTCTGGCCAGGTCCCCGGCGACGTGTACGGGTCGAATCCTCGGCCAGCCGGCGGGGCCTTTCCACCCCCGCCGCCGGGGGTCCCCTACGCCGCCGGGGTGGGCGCCTCGCACCTGGGCGTCTCGGCCCCGGGCAGTGACCCGTACATGCTGTCTCGCGGCCAGCCGGGCGCCGGGTTTGTGCCCGGCCCGGCGGCCGGCGGCCCGGCCGGCGCCTTCCCGCCCGTGGTCTACCCGGGCGGCATGCGCGCCGGCGGCGCCGGCATGGGCGGTGTTCCGGCCGGCCCACCGGCGCCCATCCTGCCCATGGGCGACGCGACCGCAGTTCACGGCCAAGTCCTCCCCCAGCACTTTGCCCTCGCGGCCCAGGGTGCGCGCAGTGTCGCCGTTTGTCCCGCTCGCCCCTTTGGCCCCGTGGCGACTGACGGAAAAAATGCCCGCATCTATCTGCACACACACACACACACGCACACACACACACACACACGCAGCTGGATATCGCTTCCATCCGCACATGCAGCCCCCGGCCCCGCATGCGGCCCCGCTCATGGGCGGCCACTTCCCGGTCATCCCCCCGGTGCCGGGGTTCCCCGGCGGAGGCATGCTCGGCCATGGGGCAGTAGATCCGGCGGCGGCGGCGGCTGCGGCGGCGGCGGCGGCGGCGGCTGCTGCGGCGGCTGCCGCCGCGGCCGCAGCCTCCTCCCCCCTGCCAAACCCGACGGATGGCTTTGGCGCCACTGGTGGTGCCGCGGCCGCGGCCGCCGCCGCCGCCACCGGGCCGCCGCCCACTCGGCCCCGGCCACGCCTCCGTGTCCTGGATGAGGATTATCACCGGTTCAGCGAGATCGGCAAGGGGACCTTCGGGTGCGGTGCCGCCACCCTCCTGCGCTTCGGCCACCGACCACGTCACACTGACAGCACGCCACCCGCCGCCCATCGCCCCCGCCCCACTGCCCCCGCCGCGCAGTGTTGTCCGGAGTGCGTACAACCGGCACACCGGCGAAATGGTTGCCATCAAGGAATTCGTCCCGGCCCACTACGACGATGGGGTGCGCCTTCGGGCAACACAGCCAGCCCCGCCCGCTGACGGGCCACCATTCGCCCGCCCCTCCCCCCTCTTTTCTTTTCCCGCCGTACCTGGCCCCGTACTCACGCCGTGTGTGCCTGCCGGCCATGTGTCGCCGCAGTTTTCCCAAACATCCATTCGCGAAATCAAGCTGCTCAAATCCCTGAACAATGTGCCTGGCGTCATCCGCCTCTTGGATGTCGCCATTCGGAGTAGTGCGCTCTCTCTCTCTCTCTCTATCCCTCTCTCGGGCCCATGTGCCGGCTCCGCGTCTCCTCTGGCTCTCCTTCTTCCCTCTCGCGCCTCCTCTGACCCCCCCGGCTCCACAGACAAGGACAGCACCGTGTGTCTGGTGCTCGAGTACATGGACTACGATCTGGCGGATTTGATCCAGTTCAGCGGCAACAAGTTCGAGCTGTCCGATTTGAAGTACTGGTCCAAGCAGCTGCTCGAGGTCATGGAGGCCCTGCACGGCCGGCGCATTCTCCACCGCGATATGAAGAGTACGTGCGGCCACCCTGTCCCCTCCCCCCCCCCTCCTCCTATCTCATGCGGTGGCGTGACACGGCGCCCAAACGCCGCCCTCCGCCTCCCGCCTCCCACGCTGACGCGCTCCCATCACCGCCCCCCTGCCGGCGTAGCCTCCAACATCCTCATCAACTCCCGGGGAGACCTGCGCCTGGCCGACTTCGGCCTGGCCCGCACCCAGCCCGTCGGCGATGCCAATGCCCAGCTCACCCCGACCGTGGTGACTTCCTGGTACCGGCCGCCGGAGCTGCTGCTCGGGGCCAAGCGCTACGACACGGCCGTCGACATGTGGGGCGTCGGGTGTGTCATTGGCGAGCTCTTCCTCCGGCAGCCGCTCTTCCGGACGAACCTCCACCGGGACCCGACGGCCCTCGAGCAGCTGGACGTCATCGTCAAGATGTGCGGCGTCCCCCAGCGCGAGGAGTGGAACTCCATCATGCACCTGGTGTCGTCGGAGGTGTGCCCCCACCAGGACCTGGCCCTGCCGATGTCGGCCCCGCTGTGGGTTCCGAAGTCCGTGGCCGGGGCCCTGGAGAGCAGCGGCCCGGCCGCCGCCGCCACGCACCCCTTCGCCGCCATCGCCACCACCTCCATCCAGTGGTCCTCCAACCGGGTGCTGCGAACCCTGCGCGAGAAGCTCGCCCTGCCGGACGACCATGTCCTGGCGCTCATTGATCAGATGTGCGCACGCCGCGCGCCCTTCGGCCACCCCCCGCCCCCCCGCCCTCCCTCTCCCTGCACATGCCCGACATTGTCCCCCTTCACCTGCTGACGGTGCTCTCTCCCCTCTGCCCTGCTCTCGCCGCCCTGGCTTGCATCGCCGCTCGGCCCCGGTCGGGGGTCCCAGGCTTTGCTGGGACCCGGCCAAGCGGCTGAGCGCCTCCAAGGCCCTGCGGTCCAGCTGGTTCACCACCGAGCCGCTGCCCACCCAGCCCGGCAAGTACGCAATTCTTTCCTCTGGGGTCTCCCCCCCCTGCGGCCAGGGGCCCTCGCCCCGGCTCCTCTCTCTCTCTCTCTCCCCCCCCCCCTCCCTCCCTCTCCCTTCGCCACCTGACACCGACATGCCGCAATGTGTAGATTTGTCAATCAGTATACGACGCGACGGCGCGATGCGGCGGCTGCCGCGGCGAATCCCGCAGCCGCTGCCGCGGCCGCCGCCGTGGCGGCCGCCGCCGCTGGCGTGGTCCTTGCCCCGCAGCCGGGGATGGGTATGCCGGCGGCCGCCGCGGCCGCGGCCGCTGCCGCCGCCGCCGGCATCCCCCTGCCTGGGCACGTTCCCTTCTCCATGATTCCGCCTGTGGGCCACATGCTGCCGCACGCGCAGCAGGTCCCCTTCATGCAGGGTCATCGCCCTGGAGCCGGGCCCACCGCGGGCCAGATGCCGCCGAATGGTGCCACCGGGGGGCCCGGTGCCGGCGCCGGCCCTCCGACGGGTCTCCCCTTTGCCCCGTCTTCCAACGCCCACGCCGCTCGGCAGCCCGGTGCCCCCGGCCTGGGCGGCTATGCTACCCACTCCACCTCACAGCAGCTTCACCCGCACCAGCAGTCGGCGCACCAGCACCCACAGCACAACCCGGCCCAGCACCACCTCCACCAGCAGGCCCAGGCCCATGTCCAGGCCCATGTCCAAGCTCATGTCCAGGCCCAGCAGGCCCAGCTCCAGCAGCAGCTCCAGCTCCAGCAGCAGCAACTCCAGCTCCAGCAGGCCCAGTTCCAGCAACAGCTTCAAGAGCAGCAGGCCCAGCTCCAGCAGCAACTCCAACAGCAGCAGCAACAGCAACAGCAACAGCAGCAACAGCAGCAGCAGCAGCAGCAGCAGCAGCAGCACCAACAGCAGGCCCACGCGACTGCCATGCCGACATCCATCGCCGGAGGAGGGAGTAAGCTGCCGCGTCACCCGGCCCCGGGGCAGGTCCCGCACCCTCACCACGCGCGCCCGGTCGACGGCGGGCCGCGGTCCATCGCCTCCGGCTCGTCCGCCCCCAAGCCCACTTCGATTGCCGGGCCCGGGGGAGGGCCCATGGCCTGGGGCGGCGGGGTTGCCGGGCCGGGCCGCGGTCCCGGCGGCCAGCCCACGTCCCTGGCCCCGGCAAACAACTACCCGCCGCCAGACCGGCCACAGCTGGCGCGCGAAGTCTCCCGCAAGCGGGCTCTCGATGAGGTACGCACCGGCTCCCATGACGCTGGTCTTGATCCCCCCCCCCCCCCTCGCGCGCGCGCGCCTTATGATGCCCATGTCTCACCGGCCCCTCTCCTCCTCGCTGGTGCCTGTCTCGCCTGATGTCATGTGTGTGCGTGTGCGTGTGTGTGTGTGTGTGTGTCCACCGTAAATGCGCGTCCAGTCGAGCGAAAATTCCTCGCCCGCGAAGCAAACCTACCGGCGCCCGCAGTGACGATGACACCACATTGTTCGGCCGGGCCTGGGCGAAGGCCATACACACCTTTGCACTGCCTCTGCCTTCTTTTCCCCTTCCCAAAAATAGATACAATCCCCACCAGAAATACATGCCCTTTGCCGTGGCGGTGGGTGACATATGGACGGCTTTTTCTTGTTTTGAGGGTATTCCTGCTTCCGACACCTTTCCCTCCCTTCCTGCCTGCCGGAGAGAAGGGGGGCGGGGCGGGGGACAAGGAGGGGCTTACGGCGAGGGGAACCGCGGCTGGGAGTAGTCCGCACTGTGCGGGCGACTGGAGCTGCGCACCACAGGCGAAGCATCAGATGCAAGATCATGGCCGGGGTCGCTGCCCGTGGCCAGCAGCGGGTCATGGGTGTGCAGGGCCGCCGAGGAGCTCGGCGCGCGGCCGAAGAACCGATACCCCAAGCCGCGGCTTGGGGAGTCACGCTGCTTGCCGAGCTGGCCAGCACTCGACCCGGCCGGGGACTCGTCCAGCAGAGACTCGCGATCGTCCTCGCGCAGGTTGTGGCGGTCACGATGGGCCCGCCGGCGCCGGCGCCGCTGCAGCCGGCGGTTGATCACGGCCTCCGGCGGCCACTGGTGCTTCTGAGCATACGGGACCTCCGGGACTGAGGGGGGAAAGGCGCCCCCAGGGGGGGAGGGGGGGGGGGAGCGAGCAGCGACACAAATCCGGATGGGAGGAGGAGAGAAAAGGGAGGGGACGTGTCAGGAGAGGAAGGACACGCCTCTGGGCAGGGTGCGATGCGCGCCGTGCACGCACCGACATGGTCGAAGATCGTCTCGAAAGATATGCCCGCGTCCGGGGCATTTTGGTTGATCGGCAACAGCCAGAGCCACCACCGAGGGCCCATGACCGTTTTGACATTGGCCAAGGGCGACCGGCCAATTTGGGTCAGGTCATAGGGGAACTGCGCCTCCTGGAAGGAGATCTCCCCGGACCGGAGCATGCGGTCGGTGGCCATCTGGTCCAGCTCCTCGATGCCGGAGTAGTTGCCCCAGAGGCCCATCAGCTGCGATGCCAGCAGGAGGGACACGCACATGAGCGCCGTGACCGCCAGGACGAAGGTGTATGCGATGCTGGTCATCTGCCAGCCGGACATCTGCCCGCTGGCGGACTGCGACACCGGGTAATGGGTGAGAATTGGCTCGGGGAGAGGAAGAGAGAGGGCATTTCTTCGTGGCCTTTTCTGCCACGCTGCCCCGCACTGATCCCCTGTCGAGGATGAGGATGTAGTGGACAGGGAGGAAGAGAGAGGGAGAGGGAGAGAGAGGGAGAGGGAGAGGGAGAGAGAGGGAGAGAGGGAGAGAGAGGCAGAGAGAGGCAGAGAGAGGCAGAGAGAGGCACACGCACGATGCTGTTGAGGGCGGTGGCAGACGCCAGGTGCCGAGCCGCGCGGAAGCCACCGACAGTGGCCCGGCCGGTCAGCATCGTCCGATCGGCCAGTGTGGCCCGGCCGTCGAATTCCGTGACACTGGCGATGAAATAGTACGCCGCCAGGCGCAGGCAGGAGGCCACAATGTACACCGCCGAGGCAACGCATGTCCAGATGAGGAAGCGCACGAAGTCGGCGTGGTTGTGCGCGCCGACGCAGTTGCCGATCCACGGGCAATGGTGGTCAAATCGGAGGATGCATCGCTGGCAGTGCGAGCAATGCCGGGTCCGTGGCGGCCGGAAGATGCTACACCGATCGCAGAAGTTACTGCCGTTGGGGGCCGCCTCGTGGCAGTCATCATGCGGGGGGGCTGCCGCGGCCGAGGCCTGGGCGAAGCTGGCCGAGGTGGCCGGCGCGCCGGCCTGCAGAGGGCGCGTCTTGCCGGCCGCCGGCTCATGGTACCCGGTATAGGTGAGGAACTGGGCGCCGGCGGCACTGTCGGCGGGGTCGGGCTCTGGCGACTTGACGAGCTTGTCCGCGCCCCCGCCGGGGGGGATCTGCGCCGGCCGACGGAGAGGCAGGCAGACGGCAGGTCAGCGACAGGGGGAGGGCGGGTCAAGCTGCGCCGGGAGGAGGGACGGCCCCCGGCGTGTGCGTGCATATACGGAGGGCATGAGGAGGGGGAGCGAGGCAGGGAGGGAGCGAGGGAGGGAGGGAGCGAGGGAGGGAGGGCCAAGCGCACCCAGTTGACCGGGACGGCCCCCGGATCGCGCGTCGAGCAGATGACAAACGTGAGGGCACTCATGAGGCCGGTCACCGCGGCGGGCCACAGACACAGGTGCACCCCGAGCGAGGTGAAGATCGGCAGCAGGGTGTGCCCCGAGGGGAGGCCCCGCAGCGAGTCGCGCCAGGGAAGCAGCACGCCAAAGATCAGTGCCAAGATGACCGACACAATGACCAGGAAAGTGGTCAGGCGAAATGCCTGGCCCCAGAAAGACCGATGGATGTCCCGCCGTCCGTGGCCAGTGGACGAGGTCATGGCGGGGGGAGGAGGGCCAGCGGGCGCGCGAGCGAGAGATGGAGAGGGGGAGGGGGGAGGGGAGGGGAAAGGCCGAGCGGTGTGCGATTGAGGGGGGGGAGAGAGAGAGAGAGAGGGGGGGGGGGCTTCCACATTGGCCGTGTCTCCCTCAAGGGCAGGGAGAGGCGGGGTGGGGCGCTGCCAAAAAAAGAGAAAGACCGCCATCTCGCAGGAGTTCCCGAGGGGGCAATCATCGTCAAGCCGGCCCGGCTCGGTCGACGTCCCGGGCCCGGCGGGGAAAGGACTTGGGCCTGGCGCTGTGTTGAAAGGCGTCCATTGGCATGTGGGGGAAGTGGATTTGGGCTCGACAATGGGGCTGGACATCGTGCTCCTGTGGCTCAGTAGGTAGAGCGTGGGACTGTTAATCCCAAGGTCCGCGGTTCGATCCCGTGCGGGAGCGCGTCTCTCTCTTTTTGCTTTTCCGCCCCTGGCCGCGAAAGGCCGGGGGCCACCACCGCAGCAGGGGGAAGGGAGGGGCCCACCCAAACGTGTGTGTGTGTGTGTGTGTGTGCGCATGTATGGTTGCATCAAGGACAGGGATCTAGTTTACAGGTGAAGGGGGATGGGTGGTGGGCGCAGACACGGCCCCGGGGTGCGCTGTGCGCGAACTCGACCGGGCGCGAAATCAAAAGAGAAGAAGCAGGAGAGGAGAGCAGGGGTACACAGGAGAGTGTGATGCTGACACGAAGAGGAGGGGCTTGAAGGGGGAAGGAGGGGGAGGAGGTCGACGGACGCATGGGCGAGCACGGGGACACGGGCCGGGCAGGGGGAGGGGGGGAGAGGCAGGGGGAGGCGGACGCGGCCAGAAGGGGGGGAACAAAAGAAGAAAACGAGAGGACCCATCACTCCTTGGCATCGCCGACACCATCGGGGTTGATGGCGAAGACGGCCTCCCCCTCGGCCAGGCAGGGGCTGTCGAACACCTTGGCAATGCGGGTCTCCCCGCGGCCCTTGCGCAGGTAGAGGCGCGTGGTGGAGGCGTGGGCCATGATGTGGCCGCCGACCGGCTTCTTGGGATCGGCATTGAACATGGCCGCGCCGCCGTCCACCGAGGCGACCACCTGATTGGTGATGACGACGGCGATGCCGAACTCATCGGCCAGGCGCATGAGTGTCCGGAGGAAGCGAGCCAGGTGCATCTGCCGGGCGCTGAGCTCCCCGCGGCCGTGGTAGTCTGTCCGGTAGAGGTTGGTCGAGCTGTCGACGATCAGCAGGGCATAGCGGGTCTCAATCATCATGGCGCTGGCCTGCAGCAGCAGGGCCGTCTGGTGGTCGGAGTTGTAGGCCCGCGCGTAGGCCACATTGTCCAGGACCTCGGCTGGGTCCAGGCCGAAGCGCTCGGCCACGCCGACCAGGCGCTCCGGGCGGAAGGTCCCCTCGGTGTCGACGTACAGGCACTTGCCCTCGCCACCGCCCTGGGAGACGGGCAGCTGCACATGATGGGGGAGCACGTAGGCGGGGGGGGGAGGTGTGGAGGGTCCGCCGACCCGCCTCGCGCCATGTCCGCGCCCCCCCCCCCCTGCCCGCCCCGCCCCACCCCCCCCCCCCGCCACCCTAGTTTGTCGGTGTAGTACGAGAGATTGGGGCGGGGGGGGGGGGGGGGTCGCGGGGCCATCAGTACCGCATGACGGTCGGCCGGCGGGCGGATGTCCGGCGGAGAACCGACGTGCGCGACGGGCCGGCCGAGTCGCTGCTGCCGTCTAGAGAGGAAGCCAGGGCGGCCTGGATCTCCCGAACACGGGGACTGGCCTCCTCGGCAAGATGAATCTGAACAAGGCGGGGGCGGCCATCATCATGCGTGTACGCCGAGCAGTAGATCGACCGCCCGGGGTTGGTGTCGACCATGGTGACTAGCCGGACCCCGGGGAGCATGATCACCTGCACCAGGTCTCCAGTCGACAGGTACCGGACCTCGATGTGATGGTCACAGAAGGCCAGAATGAATGGGCTGGCATGGACTGTTTCCGGGAGACATGCGCGCACACGCGGGAGGCGCCCCGGCGCGGGTGGGAGAAAGGGTCGACGGTGGTATGAAAGAGCGTCAGATGGGGCAGGGGGAAGGAGAGAGGGAGGAAGAGTAGGTGGAGAGTGCATGTGCGTAAGACGTACCGAAGGACCGCGGCGCGCTGGCCCACCCAAGAACCAGGTCTCGGGAGAAGGTGCGCGTCTTCTGGTGGAGGAAGACACAGAACTCCCGGTAACATAGAATGTACTCATTGAGCTCGGCATTGGTGAAGACATCGCGCGGGGTGAGGTTCCGGATGGCGGACATCGTGTCATTCGGCGGGACCTGGTAGATGTCCGACACGTCGCCATCCTCGATGCGCACCAGGTCAATCGACCGGGGGGAAATGACACACAGGGCATCCGGCAGGAACTTCACCGAGGACGCCTCGCCCGAGAGGATGAACTTCTTGACACGCGACATGCGCCAGATGGTCTTGCCATCCTTCTGTGCACTGAAGGGCTTGTACAGCTTCAGCGACCGGCTGTGCGACAAGCTGGGTGCCTTGGCGAGAGCAACGAAATTGGTGCCGAGGGTCTGGCCACTGTGTGTCGGTGTGTGTCGGTGTGTGTCGGTGTGTGTCGGTGTGTGTCGGTGTGTGTCGGTGTGTGTCGGTGCATCGGTGTGTCGGTGCATCGGTGTGTCGGTGTGTCGGACGGACGTGAAAGGCAGGAGAAAGCCGAGGGTAGAGTGTCAGCGAGAGGACCACCGAGCGGAAGGGCCCTCTCCCCGGGAGGGGCGCGGGAGGAGAGGCCACCCAGGCAAAGCCAGCACGTACATCGAGAAGAACTGCGCCCGGTCGGACTTCTCCACCTTGTGAATGTGCTTTTCCGTGAGCACGGTGCTGGCCTTGGACAGGAGGTAGTCCATGGGGATGGTGGCCAGCAGGTTGTTGGCGCCGTAGATGAACAGCAGGAAGTTCTGCGGCGACATGACCGCCACCTGGCGGACATTCTCCAGGGCAATGGCATGGTGGAAGACCAGTGACCCGGAGGCCGCGTCGGCGGACCCATCCTTGCCCGAGGCGGCCTCCTCCTTGGAGATGAAGATGCCATGGTAGTTGCCGATGATGACATATGAGCCGGAGGCGTCGGTGAAGCGGCACGAGCAGGCAATGTCATCGATGCTGGTGGAGGGGTTCTTGGCCTTGGTCTGGGCCGAGGCGGCCACGTCATTGTTCGACAGAATCCGATGGGAGAAGGTGTGCGTGTGGGTGGTGATCCGGCCAATGCGCTCGCTGAGGATCTCCTTGAAGGACTTGCAATCATCAGGCGAGGAGAACTCCAGCGTATGGATGTCCGGCGCGCGGCCACTCACGAAGTACCAGGTGGACGACTCGTCCAGGGAGGCCTTCGACCGGGACATGCCGACCGAGCGCATGGTGGCGTGGTTCCGCCGGCGGGTGTTGGCCGAGGGGGTCTCCTGGGTCTGCGACCGGGCGCGCGCGCGCGCACACGCACACACACGCACACACACACACACACACAAATATGCGGCAGAGTGAGTATGGTGTGGATGGTGAAGTGGGCCGAGGGAGGCACACAAGCAGACGCAAGCAGGCGCCGAGGGGAGGGCAGCGAGCAAAAATAAGTATAAAAACGCACAGTCGACCCAAGCTGCAGGGCCAGGTGCAGGCCATCCATGTCGGCGGTGGGCTCAAGGGCGGTGAACTCGAAGGTCGAGGCAAAGCGCAAATCGTGGGTCACATTGTCGCCCTCGTTCTTGGGCTTGACAAGCAGGAAGCAATTGTCGAAGACCAAGACCTTCATGTTCTCCCGGCTCTCGGAGGTAGAGGAGAAACGGACTGGGAACTCGCACAGGAGCTCGCGGCGGATGTTGCGCAGATCAAGCCACTAGGCGCGGAAGGGAGGAGGGCGGGGGGGGGGGAGAGAGAGGGTGAGAAAGGGGATCCGAGGGGGCGAGGCGCAGGTAAGTAGATGAGCTGGACGAGTGGCGACATGCGCAAGGAAAGGCGCAAGCATGGCAAGATAAAGAAGCATACCTCGAAGCGGTTGACATTGCGGAGGCTCTGCTCGAAATCGAAGATCTCCGCCAGGCGGTTGGCATCCTGAGAGATCTTGGTAAACTGTGGGAGGAGGCGGGATGAGCATGGGAGGAGAGAGAGAGAGAGAGGTGGGTGAGTGTCAAGAGCACGTGAAGGCCGCATGGCAGGGACCCGGAAGAGAGAGAGAGAGAGAGAGAGAGAGAGAGAGAGCCGCCCAGCACATACAGTCTGATGCGCGGCCTTGAGATCGGGCATGTCCGGATGGTCGGCCGGCATGCCCTCCATGATGCGCTGAACAATCATGGGGTAGCGACCAAGCCGAGTCCGAGGGCGCGACAGGAAACTCTGCAGCGGCAGACGCTGGAAGACATGGAATTCCCGGGCCTTCTTCAGGTACGCCCGAATCATGGGATACGTGCTTTCGGCGGACTTGAGCGTGCTCAAGGAGAGGGTCTCGTTCGGGATGAATGACAGGTAGGAGTCGCGCATGTCGTCGGCGATGTCCTTCATGATGTCGCCAATGCGCGACACGACCGGATGCTCCTTCTGGCGCTTGAGCAGCGCGGCGCACAGCTTGGAGTTGACCGCCAGGATGCCCTCCCACGAGTCGAAGACCGCGTGGATGAAGCTCTCGCGCGTGGCAATGTCCTTGATGTAGATGTCGGTCTCGAATTCCTTGAGGAAGCCCTGTACACGTGGGCGTGGCGTGGCGTGGGAGGTGGGAAGGGGGGGGAGGGGGAGGGGGGAGGGGGCATTTGCGTGTGCACGGCGAAGAAGCGCCCACGATCCGAGACACGGGGACGATGCGCAAAGGCGGGAGGGGACATCGGTCAGAGGGAGGAAAGGGGGGGGGGGGGAGCCATGAGCATGTGCGCACCTCACACACGAAGTACAGATCGTTGACATACTGCGACTCGGTGCGGATCAGCTCATAGATGATCTCCTGGCGCTTGCGCTCATCCTTGCTGACCGACTCGTCCGAGAAGCCGATAGTCTCGCAGTAGGTCTTCCAGTACTCGATCTGTGTATGTGCATGGGAAGAAGATGGGCGCCAGCGAGGGAAGAAAGCCAGCGGGGGGGGGGGGGGGGGGCGGGG